CGGGAGGGCATCTGACACAATCTGACACACAGGGAGGGCATCTGACACACAGGGGAGGGCATCTGACACACGGGAGGGCATCTGACACGGGAGGGCACTGACAGGGCATCTGACGCACGGGAGGGCATCTGACGCACGGGAGGGCATCTGACGCACGGGAGGGCATCTGACGCACGGGAGGGCATCTGACGCACAGGGAGGGCATCTGACGCACAGGCATCTGACGGGGGCAGACATCTGACACGGGAGGGCATCTCACACACAGGGAGGGCATCTGACACACATCTGACGGAGGGCATCTGACGCACGGGAGGCATCTGACGCACGGAGGGCATCTGACACACGGAGCATCTGACACACGGGAGGGCATCTGAGACAATCTGACACACGGGAATATTGGAGGATGGCGACACGGTGGATGAAAAGCCTCACAGTGAGAAGGTCCCTGGTTTGACTCCCGGCCTCTTCTTATTTATTATATAAATGTCCAAGTCAAAATAAAATAGAAAGATAATAAAAAAATATATATAAAGATCTAAAATAAAATGGATGAGTAAAAAATTATAAAAATCTATAATAAAATTTGAAAGATAAATTTAAAAAATCAAAAATAAAATGGATAAGTAAAAAAAAAAAAAAGAAAAAAATCTAAAAGAAAATAGATAAGTAAAAAATATATATTAAATTTAAAATAAAATAAAAAGATAAATTTAAAAAAAATCAAAAATAAAATAGGATAAGTAAAAAATAAAATAAAAAAGATAATAAAAAAATAGATAAGTAAAAAAACATTAAAAAATCAAAAATAAAATAGATAATTAAAAAATATATATAAAAATCAAAAATAAAATAAGTTAAAAATATATATAAAAATCTAAAATAATTCTGAAAGAAAAGTAATAAAATATGTGTGGAGTTTAAATGTTTAACACTGAAGAATGAGTCAAATGAAGAGGACACGTGTCCCTCATGGGAACAACAGTGTTCCTCAACCCTGGGATGGGAGGGCATCTGACTCACAGGTGGATGTGAGGATGGGAGGGCATCTGACTCACAGGTGGATGTGAGGATGGGAGGGCATCTGACTCACAGGTGGATGGGAGGATGGGAGGGCATCTGACTCACAGGTGGATGTGAGGATGGGAGGGCATCTGACTCACAGGTGGATGGGAGGATGGGAGGGCATCTGACTCACAGGTGGATGTGAGGATGGGAGGGCATCTGACTCTGTTGTCTCTGTGCAGGTGTCTCTGTCGAAGTCTCTGCGTGACCTGAGCAGCAGACTGTCGGAGCTCGGCTGGCTCCACAACAAAGTGAGAAAATACACAGACTCGAGGAGTTTGGACCGAGCGTTTGGACTCGTGGGACAGGTCAGAGAGAGAGACATTTACTCATACACTTACTCTATAATCTATAATCTATACTCTATCTGTATTGATATATTTATATTTATGTTTGTGTGTGTAGAGCTTCTGTGCGTCTCTACACGAGGAGTTGAAGGAGTACTACAGGCTGCTCTCAGTACTGCACTCACAGGTACTCACTCCTCTTTAACACTTTTTATTTGTATGATTTTGTCTCTGGACTTGTTTAAACATTTTAAAACCAACACGAGGAGCCTCGTAACATTTCACCTGGTCTTGAAGTTGACAAAGCTGCAGGTTGGATCTGTTGACATCAGCGCCGGTGAAATGATGAAATAAAAATGAGGTGTGTTTGACTTAAAGGATCCGGCTTTTATTGACATTGCCAGATATTAACAAATGAACGGCCAAGGGAACAAACACCAAACCATAAGACAATAACACACTGAACAATAAACAGTTCATGAGCAGAATTAGTCTATGTTAAATTGCCCTCAAATCCCCATGAAACTCCTGCGCTTCCACAAATCTCAGTCCAGTTCAGTGTCTTCCCCAAAGTCCAAGGTGCAGGTTGCAGGTGGAGGCTCGTGTTGTGTCAGTGGTTGAGCTCTTCGCCCTCTGACCAGAAGCTCTCGTGTTGTGTGTCAGTTGCAGGTGGAGGATGAACAGGCCCTGCCCCTCGTCTCCTCTGACGGGTCTCTGACTCTGAGGAGGCTCCTGGTCTGGATGTACGAGCCCCGGTTCAGACTCAAGACTCTGGCCGCGCTCGTCGACTTCTGCCAAGGTCTGTGTCTGTCTGTCTGTGTAAAACTCATTTAGTCCTGGTTCAGTCCTGGTTCAGTCCTGGTTCAGTCCTGGTTCAGTCCTGGTTCAGTCCTGGTTTAGTCCGTGCGGCGCTGTGTCGTCGTGCCGTTTACTCCTCGTCAGCTCCATTCATCACCACAGTTTTCTATCGCTGAAGTCGTCGCTCTTGTTTCTTTATGAAGTGGTTTTAGATCAATATTGTGATTTAAAACGTCACAGTTTGAACAGAACGATCCACAGGGGTCAGAGGTCAGAGGTCAGAGCTGTAGAGTCACACACAAACTCTATAGGACGAATTTAACATGATTGTGGTCGTCTCACCTTTATCTGTCTGTAGGATGTAAAGAAAAACCGCTGTGTCAGTACTGTTCCCTCACCTGTCTCACCTGTCAGTCTCACCTGTCAGTCTCACCTGTCAGTCTCACCTGTCCGTCTCACCTGTCTGTCTCACCTGTCCGTCTCACCTGTCCGTCTCACCTGTCTGTCTCACCTGTCTCACCTGTCTCACCTGTCCGTCTCACCTGTCACCTGTCTGTCTCACCTGTCCGTCTCACCTGTCTGTCTCACCTGTCAGTCTCACCTGTCCGTCTCACCTGTCCGTCTCACCTGTCTCACCTGTCTGTCTCACCTGTCCGTCTCACCTGTCTCGTCTCTCACCTGTCTCACCTGTCCGTCTCACCTGTCTGTCTCACCTGTCTCTCACCTGTCCGTCTCACCTGTCCGTCTCTCACCTGTCTCACCTGTCGTCACCTGTCCAGTCTCACCTGTCACCTGTCTCACCTGTCTGTCTCACCTGTCTCACCTGTCCGTCTCACCTGTCACCTGTCACCTTCGTACCTGTCGTCTCACCTGTCCGTCTCACCTGTCTCACCTGTCTCTCACCTGTCTCACCTGTCCGTCACCTGTCTCCTCTCACCTGTGTCTCACCTGTCTGTCTCACCTGTCTGTCTCACCTGTCTGTCTGACCTGTCCGTGTTCCCTGTCTGTCTCACCTCTCACCTGTCTGTCTCACCTGTCCGTCTCACCTGTCTCACGTCTCACCTGTTCGTCTCACCTGTCCGTCCGTCACCTGTACGTCTCACCTGTCACCTGTCTCACCTGTCGTCTCTCACCTCCTCACTGTCCCTGTCTGTCTCTCACCTGGTCCGTCTCACCTGTCTCTCACCTGTCTCACCTGTCTCACCTGTCTCACCTGTCTGTCACCTGTTCTGGTCTCACCTGGTTGCCTCACCTGTCTGTCTCTCACCTGTCCGTCTCACCTGTCCGTCACCTGTCTCACTCACCTGTGTGTGTGTGTGTGTGTGTGCAGGTCGTAAAGGCGGGGAGTTGGCGTCCGCGGTCCATGCGTACGGTAAAACGGGCGACCCTCAGATGAGAGCTCTGATCCAACACATCCTCAGTCTGGTGTCTCACCCCATCCTCCACTGTCTGTGCCGCTGGATCTACGACGGAGAACTGGAGGACACCTACCACGAGGTATACCTACTACTACTACTACTACTACAGTTTACTACTACTACCACCACCACTACATACTACTACTACTACTACTACTACTACAATCCTCCACTGTCTGTGCCGCTGGATCTACGACGGAGAACTGGAGGACACCTACCACGAGGTACTTATACTACTACTACTACTACAGTACTACTACTACTACTACTACTACTACTACTACTACTACTACCACTACTACTACTACTACTACTACTACTACTACTACTACAATCCTCCACTGTCTGTGCCGCTGGATCTACGACGGAGAACTGGAGGACACCTACCACAAAGTTTTTTTTCTGGTTTAGTCCCTGGTTTAGCCCTGGTTTAGTCCTGTTTTTAGACCTAGTTTAGACCTGGTTTAGTCCTGGTTTAGTCCTTGGTTTAGTCCTGGTTTAGTCCTGGTTTAGTCCTAGTTCTGGTTTAGTCCTTGGTTTAGTCCTAGTTTCAGTCCTGGTTTAGTTCCTGTTTAGTTTTTAGTCCTGGTTCAGTCCTGGTTTAGTCCTGTTTTTTAGTCCTGTTTAGTCCTGTTTTAGTCCTGGTTTAGTCCTGTTTTAGTCCTGGTTTAGTTTAGTCCTGGTTTAGTCCTGGTTTAGTCCTGGTTTAGTCCTTTTAGTCCTGGTTTCCTGGTTGGTTTAGTCCTGGTTTTTAGTCCTGGTTTAGTCCTGGTTTTAGTCCTGGTTTTCAGTCCTGGTTTAGTCCTGGTTCAGTCCCTGGTTTAGTCCTTTAGTCCTGTTTTTAGTCCTGGTTTAGTCCTGTTTGTCCTGTTTTTAGTCCTGGTTTAGTCCTGGTTTTCCTTAGTCCTGGTTTAGTCCTGTTTTCCTGGTTTTAGTCCTGGTCCTGTTTAGTCCTTCCTGGTTTTAGTCCTGTTTGTTTAGTCCTGTTTTAGTCCTGGTTCAGTTGGTTCAGTCCTGTTTTTTCTCTCTTGTGTTTTCCAGTTTTTCGTGGCCTCAGATCCAAACGTAAAAACCGATCGACTTTGGCACGACAAATATTCCCTGAGGAAGTCGATGATTCCGTCCTTCATCACCATGGACCAGGCGCGGAAGGTACCGGCCTCTGCTCGGGTTAAAGCTGCACTGCGGGGCTTTTCTCTCACCGCTTCGTCCACACTTCTGCTTCACTCTGGGTTGTGTGTCGTTCCAGGTTCTCCTCATCGGTAAATCCATAAACTTCCTGCACCAGGTTTGTCACGACAGAACTCCTCCTGGGAAGATCACCGCGGTCTCCAAAACGGCGGAAAACCCCAAAGACGGTACGAACTTTGACCTTTAAAGAGCGAACGTCGGGCTCAGGGATTTTCTCCTTCTGACTCAGTTTGGTGGAAAGTCCCTGTGGGCGATTTGTGAAAGTTAAAGTTTTACATCAGATCTGTGGCACTTTGTGGAAAAAAGTCGAGAAGAAAAATCCCAAAACACAGGAAGTGCAGTAATAGTCGTAGTTTTATTTCTGTCGTTTTGCAGCTCAACAAAAAACAAAACAAACAAAACAAACTCGACTCATGGATCATGACCGAAAGAGTTTTAGACTGGAGTAAAACTTCTTCAAACGCCAAAACCTTTTTAAACAACGACAGAATTCCAAGAAAAGCAGCGTCTGAACAACAAGTTTGAGTTTACAGTTGCACTTATGACGTGTGTGTGATGGGACCAGGACCCACAGTGTCTCAGGATTTGATCAGGTTTATGGTTTTATTGTTTTACTAGAGCTGCTCCAATAACTGCAAAAATGAACCAGCGCAATACTAAAGACGGAACAACGACCAACGTGACCAACGTGACCAACGTGACCAACGTGACCCGACCCAGTCTAACCCGTTAACGTTCCACCTGTTACTGCTCATGCCCATGATGACCCAGGACTGACCCAGGATGACCCATGATGACCCAGGACTGACCCAGGACTGACCCAGGACTGACCCAGGACTGACCCAGGACTGACCCAGGACTGACCCAGGACTAACCCAGGACTGACCCAGGACAGTTGCGCCCGTGTTGACCGTCGGGTGTCGGCAGGTGAAAGGACCGCAGCAGCATCACCCGACTGCACTTTACAGACCCGACCCGACCCGGAGCGGGACTCTGACCCGACCCGGAGCGAGACCCGACCCCGACCCGGAGCCTGACCCGACCCGACCTGACCCGGAGCGAGACTCTGACCCGACCGGAGCGGGACTCTGACCCGACCCGGAGCGTCTGACCCGACCCGGAGCGAGACTCTGACCCGACCGACGGACTCTGACCCGACCCGGAGCGAGACTCTGCGAAAACAAGGAAACAACAGTTTTTCTCACACACATGAGTTTATGGAAATGAGTGATGTGGTTCAAGTTTCGTTTCTGTAAAACGTAAATATGACCTGAAGTGAGTCTGGATGTTTTCACCTCAGAACCTGCGGCAGGAGCAGAACCTTCTCACTTTCACCAAACAGATCCACTGGTCTTGCTCGGCCCTGGAGAAAAGAGGCACAGGGACACAAACATGATCCAAACTGTTTTCACCATGTTGCCCGTGCCTCATGTGCTGAACCATCAGAATTATTTTTTAACAGAATAAACGTTTACGTGATTGTGGAATAAATTAATTCGGCTTTAAAATCGGAACAAACCCCCACACTTTGGATTTAAGTTTACTTCTGAATAATCATTAGGAATCAAGTGTTTACCTGGTCTTTTTAAAACTGAATACATTTTTATTCTGAATTAAATGATTTTGAATCAGAATTAAAGCTCAGGGGCAAATATAAACTTCACCAAATAAAAAAACAAACAAACTCGTAGACGACAACATTAAATAAATAAACGTGTGTAGAAGGATCTTCGTGATGTTAAGCGAGTGTTCTAAGCTGTCATCTGCACACGCTCTCCGTCCATATTAAACCTGATGCCCCGCCCGGACGCTCTGATCGATGCACATATTGATGGAGGATAAAAGGTTTCCCGCTCTCCAGCCTCGTCCAAACTCTGAAGGTCCAGGAGGAACGAGGAGAAGAAGAGGAGGAGGAGGAGGAGGAGGAGGAGGAGGCCATTTTGGGTCGATGCCGTTTCTGCTTTTACACAGAAGGACGTTTCCACTGCAGCGTCACGACTAATGCAGCGGCTCGGTCGATAAATGGAACCGCCGACGCTAAAAATACAGCCACAAATCCACGCGCAGAAGACGATTGGTTATTAATGAGTTTATCATCTCGGCCGGATCTATAAAAAGGTGTACGGTAAATATGTGCTCGCTCAGGGTCAGGGATTCACGAGGAGCCGAGTCAGACCTGGGGCCGGTCTAGTCCTGGTCTAGTCCTGGTCTAGTCCTGGTCTTAAGACACGGTTTAGCTTCTGTTTACGTTACGGTTCCTCAACGTTTTCTGATCCCACGATGAAAATAAAACGCTCTTTCTTCAGACGATCTCCAGTGATTTTCATGTGTTCTTATATCTGTGTGATTCCTCAGTGGTCCAGGTCTAAACCAGGACTAAACCAGGACTAAACCAGGACTAAACCAGGACTAAACCAGGTCTAAACCAGGTCTAAACCAGGTCTAAACCAGGTCTTGGGCCTATACTAGTCTCTGTGCTCTTATACTTTTTCTAAACACATTCAGGAAAAGTTCTAAAAGTTCTGCTCTGTCCTGAAAATGGGACTTTTTTAGGATCCAGACCTGCTCAAACCACAGACTGTGTTCTACAGGGACTAAACCAGGACTAAACCAGGACTAAACCAGGACTAAACCAGGACTAAACCAGGACCAAACCAGGACCAAACCAGGACTAAATCAAGGACTAAATTGAGGCTAAACCTGGGGCTAAAAACTGGACTAAACTTTGGACTAAACATCAGAATAAACCAGGAGCAAATCTTGGACTGGACTTCGGACTGGACTTCGGACTGGACTTCGGACTGGACTTCGGACTGGACTTCGAACTGGACTTCGGACTGGACTTTGGACTCAACCTGTGACTAAACCAGGACTAACTCTGTACCTGCTGCTGTGACTTCGGCATTTTGGTGTTAAATGTTCTTCTGAAGAAGTTCTACAGGATCCTGTTTTTTTTCGTAATCCACATCCTGTCACCAGATTGTCTCCTGCTCCCTCAGCCTCAGTGTTCGTCACGTGGAGCTGAACCCTGTGGAGACGTGTCCCTCAGGACTGGTCTTCACCTGCTCTGTGTTCATGTTCATGTTCATGTTTGTGTTTGTGCAGCTGCAGAGCTCCTGTCGGACCTGGAGGGGGCGTTCCAGGAGAAGATCGACGCGGCTTATTTCGACACGTCCAAGTATCTGCTGGACGTCCTGAACAGGAACTACCTCCTCCTGGAACATCTGCAGGCCATGAGGAGATACCTGCTCCTGGGACAAGGAGACTTCATCAGACACCTCATGGACCTGCTCAAGTGAGACCGGGTTCAGACCGGGTTCAGACGGGTTCAGGGTTCAGACCGGTTCAGTTCAGACCGGGTTCAGACCGGGTTCAGACTGGGTTCAGACCGGTTCAGACCGGGTTCAGACTGGTTCAGACCGGGTTCAGACGGGTTCACGGGTTCAGACCGGTTCAGACCGGGTTCAGACCGGGTTCAGACTGGGTTTAGAACAGTTTTAGGCCAGGCCAGATTCAGGCCAGGATAAATTCTTGTTTACTTCTTGTTAGTTTGGGTTTAGTTCTGGTTTAGTCCTGCTTAAGTCCTACTTTAGTCCTTGGTTTAGTCCTTGGTTTAGTCCTGGTTAGGCCCCCGGTTTAGTCCCTGTGATAGTCCTGGTTTAGTCCCTGTGATAGTCCTGGTTTAGTCCCTGTGATAGTCCTGGTTTAGTCCCTGTGATAGTCCTGGTTTAGTCCCTGTGATAGTCCTGGTTTAGTCCTGGGTTGGTTCAGGTTCAGTGTTTTGGTCATTTTTAGTTTTTGTTTAGTCTTAGATCTAGTTTGGGTCTGATGGTTCACAGTCTCTCGTTCCTCCTGTTCCTCTACTTCTTCTTGTTCCTCTTGTTCTTCTCGTTCCTCTTGTTCCTCCTGTTCTTCTCCTTCTTGTCTTCTTGTTTGTCATGTTCCTCTCATTCTCGTTCTTCTCGTTCCTCCTGTTCCTCCTGTTGTTCTCCTTCTTCTCCTTCCTGACGTTCTTCTGAGGTTCTTGTGGTTCTTGTGGTTCCAGACCGGAGTTGGCTCGTCCTGCCACGACTCTGTACCAGCACAATCTGACGGGGATCCTGGAGACGGCGGTCAGAGCCACAAACGCTCAGTTCGACCACGCGGAGATCCTCAAGCGGCTGGACGTGCGGCTGCTCGAGGTTTTCATCAGCTTTTTTTTATTTTTTTTTTTTTTTTTTTTTAGATTTTACATCTGATTTTGTAGAATTTCATAATAATTTTCCTCTTTTTCTCTGTAGGTTTCTCCTGGAGACACGGGCTGGGACGTGTTCAGTCTGGACTATCACGTGGACGGACCCATCGCCACGGTGAGAAGAAAGACTGAACCAGGACTAAACCAGGACTAAACCCAGGACTAAACACTAAAACCAGGACTAAACCTAAACCTGGACTAAACAGGCTAAACCAGGACTAACTAAACCAGGACTAAACCAGGACTAACCACCCAGGACTTTAAACCAGGACTAAACCAGGACTAAACCAGGACTAAACCTTGCGAGGACTGAAACCAGGACTNGTTTAGTCCTGGTTTAGTCCTGGTTTAGTCCTTGGTTTAGTCCTGGTTAGTTAGTCCTTGGTTTAGTCCTGGTTTAGTCCTGGTTTAGTCCTTGGTTTAGTCCTGGTTTAGTCCTGGTTTAGCTTGGTTTAGTCCTGGTTCAGTCCTGGTTTAGTCCTGTTTTCAGTCCTGGTTTAGTTGTTTTAGTCCTGGTTCAGTCCTGGTTTAGTCCTGTGTCCTGTTTAGTCCTGGTTTAGTCCTGGTTTAGTCTTGGTTTAGTCCTGGTCCTTTAGTCCTGGTTTAGTCCTGGTTTAGTCCTTGGTTTAGTCCTGGTTTAGTCCTGGTTTAGTCCTGTTTAGTCCTGGTTCAGTCCTGGTTTTTAGTCCTGGTTTAGTCCTGGTTTTGTCCTGTTTTAGTCCTGTTTTAGTCCCTGGTTCAGTCCTGGTTTTAGTCCTGGTTTAGTCCTGGTTTAGTCCTGGTTTAGTAGTCCTGTTTTTGTCCTGTTTTTAGTCCTTGGTTTAGTCCTGTTTAGTTTCCTTTAGTCCTGGAGTCCTGGTTTAGTTCAGTCAGTCCTGGTTTAGTCCTGTTTTAGTCCTGGTTTAGTCCTGGTTTAGTCCTGTTTTTAGTCCTGTTTTTCTCTTGTGTTTTCCAGTTTTTCGTGGCCTCAGATCCAAACGTAAAAACCGATCGACTTTGGCACGACAAATATTCCCTGAGGAAGTCGATGATTCCGTCCTTCATCACCATGGACCAGGCGCGGAAGGTACCGGCCTCTGCTCGGGTTAAAGCTGCACTGCGGGGCTTTTCTCTCACCGCTTCGTCCACACTTCTGCTTCACTCTGGTTGTGTGTCGTTCCAGGTTCTCCTCATCGGTAAATCCATAAACTTCCTGCACCAGGTTTGTCACGACAGAACTCCTCCTGGGAAGATCACCGCGGTCTCCAAAACGGCGGAAAACCCCAAAGACGGTACGAACTTTGACCTTTAAAGAGCGAACGTCGGGCTCAGGGATTTTCTCCTTCTGACTCAGTTTGGTGGAAAGTCCCTGTGGGCGATTTGTGAAAGTTAAAGTTTTACATCAGATCTGTGGCACTTTGTGGAAAAAAGTCGAGAAGAAAAATCCCAAAACACAGGAAGTGCAGTAATAGTCGTAGTTTTATTCTGTCGTTTTGCAGCTCAACAAAACAAAACAAACCAAACAAAACAGAGACTCGAATCTCATGGATCATGACCGAAAGAGTTTAGACTGGAGTAAAACTTCTTCAAACGCCAAAACCTTTTTAAACAATGACAGAATTCCAAGAAAAGCAGCGTCTGAACAACAAGTTTGAGTTTACAGTTGCACTTATGACGTGTGTGTGATGGGACCAGGACCCACAGTGTCTCAGGATTTGATCAGGTTTATGGTTTTATTGTTTTACTAGAGCTGCTCCAATAACTGCAAAAATGAACCAGCGCGATACTAAGAGGAACAACGCACGAGACCAACGACCAACGTGACCAACGTGACCAACGTGACCAACGTGACCCGACCCAGAGTCCTGCACCTGCCCCGACCCGTTAACGTTCCACCTGTTACTGCTCATGCCCATGATGACCCAGGACTGACCCATGATGACCCAGGACTGACCCAGGACTGACCCAGGACTGACCCAGGACTGACCCAGGACCATGATGACCCATGATGACCCATGATGACCCAGGACTGACCCAGGACTGATCCAGGACTGATCCAGGACTGACCCAGGACTGACCCAGGACAGTTGCGCCCGTGTAGACCGTCGGGTGTCGGCAGGTGAAAGGACCGCAGCAGCATCACCCGACTGCACTTTACAGACACGGAGCGAGACTCTGACCCGACCGGAGCTCTGACCCGACCCGGAGCGGGACTCTGACCCGACCCGGAGCGAGACTCTGACCCGACCCGGAGCGAGACTCTGACCCGACCCGGAGCGGGACTCTGACCCGACCCGGAGCGAGACTCTGACCCGACCCGGAGCGGGACTCTGACCCGACCCGGAGCGGGACTCTGACCCGACCCGGAGCGAGACTCTGCGAAAACAAGGAAACAACAGTTTTTCTCACACACATGAGTTTATGGAAATGAGTCATGTGGTTCAAGTTTCGTTTCTGTAAAACGTAAATATGACCTGAAGTGAGTCTGGATGTTTTCACCTCAGAACCTGCGGCAGGAGCAGAACCTTCTCACTTTCACCAAACAGATCCACTGGTCTTGCTCGGCCCTGGAGGCACAGGGACACAAACATGATCCAAACTGTTTTCACCATGTTGCCCGTGCCTCATGTGCTGAACCATCAGAATTATTTTTTAACAGAATAAACGTTTACGTGATTGTGGAATAAATTAATTCGGCTTTAAAATCGGAACAAACCCCCACACTTTGGATTTAAGTTTACTTCTGAATAATCATTAGGAATCAAGTGTTTACCTGGTCTTTTTAAAACTGAATACATTTTTATTCTGAATTAAATGATTTTGAATCAGAATTAAAGCTCAGGGGCAAATATAAACTTCACCAAATAAAAAAACAAACAAACTCGTATAGACGACAACATTAAATAAATAAACGTGTGTAGAAGGATCTTCGTGATGTTAAGCGAGTGTTCTAAGCTGTCATCTGCACACGCTCTCCGTCCATATTAAACCTGATGCCCCGCCCCGGACGCTCTGATCGATGCACATATTGATGGAGGATAAAAGGTTTCCCGCTCTCCAGCCTCGTCCAAACTCTGAAGGTCCAGGAGGAACGAGGAGAAGAAGAGGCAGGAGGAGGAGGAGGAGGAGGAGGAGGAGGAGGCCATTTTGGGTCGATGCCGTTTCTGCTTTTAACACAGAAGGACGTTTCCACTGCAGCGTCACGACTAATGCAGCGGCTCGGTCGATAAATGGAACCGCCGACGCTAAAAATACAGCCACAAATCCACGCGCAGAAGACGATTGGTTATTAATGAGTTTATCATCTCGGCCGGATCTATAAAAAGGTGTACGGTAAATATGTGCTCGCTCAGGGTCAGGGATTCACGAGGAGCCGAGTCAGACCTGGGGCCGGTCTAGTCCTGGTCTAGTCCTGGTCTAAGACACGGTTTAGCTTCTGTTTACGTTACGGTTCCTCAACGTTTTCTGATCCCACGATGAAAATAAAACGCTCTTTCTTCAGACGATCTCCAGTGATTTTCATGTGTTCTTATATCTGTGTGATTCCTCAGTGGTCCAGGTCCAAACCAGGACTAAACCAGGTAAACCAGGTCTAAACCAGGACTAAACCAGGACTAAACCAGGTCTAAACCAGGTCTAAACCAGGTCTAAACCAGGTCTTGGGGCCTATACTAGTCTCTGTGCTCTTATACTTTTTCTAAACACATTCAGGAAAAGTTCTAAAAGTTCTGCTCTGTCCTGAAAATGGGACTTTTTTAGGATCCAGACCTGCTCAAACCACAGACTGTGTTCTACAGGGACTAAACCAGGACTAAACCAGGACTAAACCAGGACTAAACCAGGACTAAACCAGGACTAAAACCAGGACCAAACCAGGCCAAACCAGACCAAACCAGGACTAAATCAAGGACTAAATTGAGGCTAAAAACTGGACTAAACTTTGGACTAAACATCAGAATAAACCAGGAGCAAATCTTGGACTGGACTTCGGACTGGACTTCGGACTGGACTTCGGACTGGACTTCGGACTGGACTTCGGACTGGACTTCGGACTGGACTTTGGACTCAACCTGTGACTAAACCAGGACTAACTCTGTACCTGCTGCTGTGACTTCGGCATTTTGGTGTTAAATGTTCTTCTGAAGAAGTTCTACAGGATCCTGTTTTTTTTCGTAATCCACATCCTGTCACCAGATTGTCTCCTGCTCCCTCAGCCTCAGTGTTCGTCACGTGGAGCTGAACCCTGTGGAGACGTGTCCCTCAGGACTGGTCTTCACCTGCTCTGTGTTCATGTTCATGTTCATGTTCATGTTGTTCATGTTCATGTTCATGTTCGTTTGTGTTTGTGCAGCTGCAGAGCTCCTGTCGGACCTGGAGGGGGCGTTCCAGGAGAAGATCGACGCGGCTTATTTCGACACGTCCAAGTATCTGCTGGACGTCCTGAACAGGAACTACCTCCTCCTGGAACATCTGCAGGCCATGAGGAGATACCTGCTCCTGGGACAAGGAGACTTCATCAGACACCTCATGGACCTGCTCAAGTGAGACCGGGTTCAGACCGGGTTCAGACCGGGTTCAGACTGGGTTCAGACCGGGTTCAGACCGGGTTCAGACCGGGTTCAGACCGGGTTCACACTGGGTTCAGACCGGGTTCAGACCGGGTTCAGACCGGGTTCAGACCGGGTTCAGACCGGGTTCAGACTGGGTTCAGAACAGTTTTAGGCCAGGCCAGATTCAGGCCAGGATAAATTCTTGTTTACTTCTTGTTAGTTTGGGTTTAGTTCTGGTTTAGTCCTGCTTAAGTCCTACTTTAGTCCTTGGTTTAGTCCTGGTTAGGCCCCGGTTTAGTCCCTGTGATAGTCCTGGTTTAGTCCCTGTGATAGTCCTGGTTTAGTCCTGGGTTGGTTCAGGTTCAGTGTTTTGGTCATTTTTAGTTTTTGTTTAGTCTTAGATCTAGTTTGGGTCTGATGGTTCACAGTCTCTCGTTCCTCCTGTTCCTCTACTTCTTCTTGTTCCTCTTGTTCTTCTCGTTCCTCTTGTTCCTCCTGGTCTTCTCCTTCTTGTTTGTCATGTTCCTCTCATTCTCGTTCTTCTCGTTCCTCCTGTTCCTCCTGTTGTTCTCCTTCTTCTCCTTCCTGACGTTCTTCTGGTTCTTGTGGTTCTTGTGGTTCCAGACCGGAGTTGGCTCGTCCTGCCACGACTCTGTACCAGCACAATCTGACGGGGATCCTGGAGACGGCGGTCAGAGCCACAAACGCTCAGTTCGACCACGCGGAGATCCTCAAGCGGCTGGACGTGCGGCTGCTCGAGGTTTTCATCAGCTTTTTTTTTTTTTTTTTTTTTTTTTTAGATTTTACATCTGATTTTGTAGAATTTCATAATAATTTTCCTCTTTTTCTCTGTAGGTTTCTCCTGGAGACACGGGCTGGGACGTGTTCAGTCTGGACTATCACGTGGACGGACCCATCGCCACGGTGAGAAGAAAGACTGAACCAGGACTAAACCAGGACTAAACCAGGACTAAACCAGGACTAAACCAGGACTGAACCAGGACTAAACCAGGACTGAACCATTAAAACCTACTAACCAGGACTAAACCAGGACTGACCAGGACCAGGACTGAACCAGGACTAAACCAGGACTGAACCAGGACTGAACCAGGACTGACCAGGACTGAAACCAGGACTAGACCAGGACTAACCAGGACTGAAACCAGGACTGAACCAGGACTAACCAGGACTGAAGGACTGACCAGGACCGGACTGAAACCAGGACTAACCAGGACTGAACCAGGAAACCAGGACTGAACCAGGACTGAACCAGGACTAACCAGGACTGAACCAGACTAACCCGGACTAACCAGGACAGGACTGAACCAGGACTAAACCTGGACTAAACCAGGACTGAACCAGGACTGAACCAGACTGAACAGGACTAAAGGGACTAAACCAGGGACTAAACCAGGACTAACCCAGGACTAAACCAGGACAAACCTTGGACTAAACCTTGGACTAAACCGGGACTAAACTGG